CAGTGTGTGTACCATGTGTTTTGGTCTCTGTGTGTACTGCACATTTCAGTCAGTGTGTGTAAGTCACTGTGTGTACCTTGTATGTTTCAGTCAGTGTGTGTACCGTGTGTTTTAGTCACTGTGTGTATTGTATGTTTCAGTCAGTGTGTGTACCATGTGTTTTGGTCTCTGTGTGTACTGCACATTTCAGTCAGTGTGTGTAAGTCACTGTGTGTACCATGTGTTTTGGTCTCTGTGTGTACTGCACATTTCAGTCAGTGTGTGTACCGTGTGTTTTAGTCACTGTGTGTATTGTATGTTTCAGTCAGTGTGTGTACCGTGTGTTTTACTCAGTGGTGGCACTATCACAGGTGGCACCATGACGACCTGATGTGTTCCCGTTCTTCTGCAGATGTCATCTCTCCTACACACTACAGCCCGTATTTCAGACACCTGATCTTCGACGTGACTTCAATGGAGAAGAACGCCTCCAACCTGGTGAAGGCTGAACTACGCCTCTTTAGGCTGCAGAACCCCAAGGCCCGTGTGCAGGAGCAGCGGATTGAGCTCTACCAGGTGACCGCACATTTTACAGCATCTACATCCCTGTTCCCCTTACAGCATCTACACCCTCTGAGATAGAAATCAGGGATAGGAAAGGGACTCTGAGGAAAGGGATAGGCAGCAGGCAGAGAGTCAGTGGAGCGGAGGGGTCAATCTACTATGAATGAGGATCCCACTCACTCGCACTTACTCACTCATTCACTCACTTGTTCACTCCTGTATATGACAGCTGTGCTTTCAAAGTGATGGGATTTTACTAAACGGGCCAGGCACATTAACACCACGTGAGGCAGAGCGGGAGGGAAAGTGCCGGATCTCAGTGACATAATCGTCACCTTCGCTAAGCTAAAATGCTAGTTTGCTGTACGGGCACAGCTTGACACAATGGCTGGAGATGATTGTTAGTATTAGCCTGGCTGTAGCATTATCTTGGGTGGAGATGCAGATGGTGTGAGTGAAAGAACAATGGAAACCAGGGAAATTTGCAGTGCAGTGATAATGCTGATATAAGCCTGGAAAATTCCAAAACATCTCAAGCACGTGGCCATTGGGCTCTTCCCACAGGGGCCAATAATTGAGAGGAAAATGTGTCATTTTGCTTCAGATTCTCGTCCACAAGGACCTGACATCCCCTACACAGCGCTACATCGACAGCAAGGTGGTGCAGACGCACGCCAAGGGCGAATGGCTGTCTTTCGATGTGACAGAGGCGGTCAGCGAGTGGCTGCTTCACAGAGGTGAGGGGGCACCAGGGGTCCGGGCCTGGACTGGAGCAGCACTTTTCCCGTCTCTCCCAGGCCGTCCCGTGTTTAACACACTCCTCCTCCCTTTCAGACAGAAACAGTGGCTTCAAGATCAGCCTGCACTGCCCGTGCTGCACATTCGTCTCTTCAGTTAATTTTATAAACCCCAACAAAAGCGAGGAGCTGGAGGCCAGGTTTGCAGGTAGGGGCCATGTGGCGTCTCTGCGAACACCCTGCTGTCTGCCGCTGGTGTTGCTGATGGGATGGCATGGGCGCGCATGGCCACACTACACGTGTGCTGTGTAATCGGCAGGTATCGACGACAGCTTCCAGCACAGCGATGACCAGAAGAGGCGCCGTCACACCGGGCTCAGTCCTCACCTGCTGCTGATGCTGCTACCATCCTACCGGCTGGAGTCACAGCACAAAGCCCACCGGCAGAAGCGTGCCCTGGATGCGGCCTACTGCTCCAGGTGACCTTCCTGTGACCTCTGTGTGACCTTCCCATGACCTCTCTGTGTGTGTCATGCTGATCTCCTTGCCTGGCTGACCCCCCACAGGAACGTCCAGGATAACTGCTGCTTGAGGTCACTCTATATCGATTTCAAGAGGGATCTGGGCTGGAAATGGATCCATGAGCCTAAAGGTTACAACGCTAACTTCTGTGCCGGTGCGTGTCCTTACCTGTGGAGCGCTGACACACAGCACAGCAAGGTGAGAGGCCATGAAGTGAGGGAGTGTGGAACAGGGGCCAGAGTGGGGGAGTGTGGAGGAGGGGTCAGAGTGGGGGAGTGTGGAGGAGGGGCCAGAGTGGGGGAGTGTGGAGGAGGGGCCAGANGGGAGTGTGGAGGAGGGGCCAGAGTGGGGGAGTGTGGAGGAGGGGCCAGAGTGAGGGAGTGTGGAGGAGGGGTCAGAGTGAGGGAACCTGGAGGAGGGACCAGAGTGGGGGAGTGTGGAGGAGGGGTCAGAGTGAGGGAGTGTGGAGGAGGGGCCAGAGTGAGGGAACCTGGAGGAGGGGCCAGAGTGGGGGAGTGTGGAGGAGGGACCAGAGTGGGGGAGTGTGGAAGAGGGGTCAGAGTGAGGGAGTGTGGAGGAGGGACCAGAGTGAGGGAGTGTGGAGGAGGGGCCAGAGTGAGGAAGTGTGGAGGAGGGGCCAGAGTGGGGGAGTGTGGAGGAGTGAGTTATGTTAAGTGTTTTCTTTCTCCACAGGTCTTGGGCCTATATAATACCATCAATCCTGAGGCATCAGCATCACCGTGTTGTGTGTCCCAGGACCTGGAGCCCCTCACCATTCTCTACTATATCGGCAAGACCCCCAAGATTGAGCAGCTGTCCAACATGATTGTGAAGTCCTGCAAGTGCAGCTAGGAATGGACACACACACACACACGCACAGTCAAACAGTCTCGGGACACTGAGTATCAAGCAGCAATACAAATCGCAGATGGTAGTCCCATCATGCACGTCATCCACATACCCATCGGACGTAAACATATCTGGAGATGAGTAAACACTGGAAGAGTATTTAAGTGTCAATATGTGAAATAAGTAGAAACAATGATGCGAGCTTATCCGCCCCATATCGCCAGTTCCTAGTGTTACCATTTTGCTTTTGAGTTTTTGTACTTTCACTTGTTTTTTTTTTTGATGCTGTCCACAATTTGTGCAGTTTCATCTAGTTGTGCTGATTTTTCCTTTATAAAACCAGTGCGATCGTGGCTGAATGGGAAAGTGTCTTCTTTGCTAATCAGTCTTTATACGAAACACACACATACACAGGAGACACAACCACACACAGGAGACACAACCACACGCATGAGACACAACTACATGCAAGAGACACAAACACACAGGAGACACACACATACACAGGAGACACAACCACAC